CCAGAGAAGGCCTTTACAAAACACTGGAGCTTTAAGCTATATGATCCAGATCATGCATGGATCACAAATTTGTAGCGAGGACGTGAACTATCGTTATATAATATAGTATCATAACATGTAGGATTCGTGATCTAATAAATAGTATAAATGTAGCGGGCACCTGCCACATCAGAACAGCTACATGGAGCAAGTACATCATGATGTAATAATATGTACTGCAACCCAAGACTCGAAGTACTTTAAATCGCACACTCTCCCAAATCCTAATCGCTACATTACTATCCTCAATCCGAGTACCTAATTAGTTGGTCTTTGTATGTCACACGTGTTTTATCGGTCTGTGCCGACTGATCATACTATACTTATAATAAGCCCAAACAACCCCGATCACCCAATGCAAACCCTAACTTAACAACCTCCGTGATCCAGGCGACCGACCCCGAGATGCCGGACTTGGCAAGGGTTCTGGAATCTGGGTACCAGGCGCCAGACAGTCTTCGCACGAACGGCTTTGGTTAGCCTGCACAGGAAGCTTCTAACCTAGACTGTCTTCGGAGGTTCTCAGAGCATGCCAACCGACACTGCCGTATACGTAGACGATTTCCGAAAACACACTCACCTTGCAGCTACTCGAGCAAACCACGACAGCTTTGGCCAGGACCTCCAGCAAGACTGGTCTTCGGCAGGCCTGCAGGAGATCAAGCGACACCTCGAAGACTCTGTTTTCAAGCGGGAGTACATTCCGATCGGGATTCTTGAGTTTGACGTGCTACCGAGTGCTGAAACCTTTGAGAAGTTTTGTGATCACTACGGTTTGGTCAGGACGGGCGGCACTTGCAAGGGCAAGGGTCAGATGCTGTAGTCTGAGTCGACAAGCGGGCATGCATGTGGCTATATGGTCCTGTAGCTGTAGCTACCCGAAACGTGTGCTGAGCTAGCAGTGCTAATTGGGTGAGTGCTCATGACGGCTTGGTCGGCTGATTCGATGGCTTGCAAAGCGAGCACCTCGAGCTGTTGTTGAACTGTGAACGAGCAGGCGAAGCATGCGGTTTTGGCTGTGCGGATCGTATGTATGAACATGTTAAATAGGCCGTGTTGTGAGCATGCATACAGGCATACATATACACTAGACATGTGCAGTCGAAGTCATGCTATATATAAATATAAAAATACGTATATATGCACATGGTACTAAGTATATGTACATGTACTATTTATAGACAAGCACTTGCCATGCAATGTATATGGATATGCTTTATATAACTTGCTATGCATGTATATATATATATATATGTATATATATATATATAATATCATGTATATATATATATAGCAACAATGTGTGTGTGTATATATATATATATACACACATATATGTATTACACATAGATCTACTTGTCAGGTATGTGGTTTACACTCCTGATACATATATATATATATATATATAGATATGTAGATATATACACATCTGTATATATATACATATATATATGTGTATACATATATATATATATAGATACATACATGTATATATAAGAATAACAATAATATATATATATATATATATATATATACATATATATATATATATATATATGTATATGTAGTATGCACACAATGCATGTGTATCTTGAATTGTCCTTTACATGTGCTTAAGCTGTCTATAATGCACATGTATCACTGCATCCCGACCACTCGACAGTGTATATATGTATATATGTATATGTTCATCTATATATATATATATATATATATATATATATATATAGCTATTCATTAACTATATATGTTGTGACTGTGTATTTACACACCAGGACACATCTGTAACATACTATGTACACAAGTGTTTTATATGTGTAATATATATGTATATATATATATACATATATATATATATATATACATATATATATATATACATACATATATATATACATATATATATATATATATATATATATATATATATATTACACACATATACATGTATATTGCTATAACATTATATATGGTTGCTTATACATGGTTATGAAGTACGTAGACAGGACCACTTGCTATCTGAAGCGACTCCTGCAAGCACTGCCTGCTTCTGCTTACGAGTTTCAAGGCTTCGGACAGGCCTGTCAGCAGCTGATCAAGGTGCTGCGAGTGGCCATTGAGCCTCGCGGGATCATTGGGGTTAATTAGCTGATATGCATAGGGGTCCTGGGTGTCCTAGCAGCTATTAATTATTACAATATATATGTGTACAACCCCATTAGGATATCCTTTCGACCTACAATAGAACCTTTAAATACCTCCCTCCTAGTTAGAATTGTGCCGGGCAAAGTGATCAGCTGCAACCCAGCAGGATTGGATCAGTATATTTCGGAGGAAAACCCCGTCGCAAGCCAGTGCTGTTGTGCTTTGCTGCAAGACCGTTGATTCGTCAGATGACATGTAGCTGCTGACCCACAGACAGTTCTCTTGCGATGATCTAAGTAGAGCCAGGAGGTTCCGAACCTGCCCCGCATGTGAAAATCACGTGAATTTCTGTGAAATCCCGTGTCCGATCCGCTAGTGTGGGGCCCGAAACGACGTAGAGCTACGTAGGTCCAATGGCAACGGATGTGAAATTTGCGTTAAAAACTGTGAAAACCCTTTCCTGGGAACTGCTAGGCGTGAAATATAAGTGAAAACGTGTGAAAACCTACATGGCCCTTACGTAGGCTATCATGCCCTGTACTTTACGTAATCTAGCTCCGTCGGCTGGGTTCCTTTAGTTCTCCGTGTTTTGCCCCCAGGGGGCTCCAATTCGATTGGCCGAGACCCATGGGCCCGAAGCCCGGAGCTGCAGCCAAGCAGGCGGCCAAGAAGAAGAAAGATGAAGCTAATTAGCATTTATCATACTCCTTATGCGAGTTTCCCAATCGTGCAACAGCCCAACCCAGCGAACCAGCTCTCGGCCTGCCACTTGCTGCCCAGGATGACTTCTGTATGGAGAAGGAGATGGAGATGGCCCTGCAGCGATGCAACTCAAAGCTCTCGAGAAGTGCCTAGGATGCACTGTTTGCCTGTATATGCGGCTTGCCATTGGGTTTCTGCGATTCAACTAGAAGCTAGCTTAGGTAGCAGCTGCGAAGCCCTGAGTGGGGGCCAAGTTCGCCCAAAGTCAGCAGGGGCAAAGCCAGCAGCGGGGGCAGTGGCAAAGGCATCAGGGGCAGTGGATAGAACAAGGTCTAGAGGACGTGCCGGTCGAGGTGGAAGTGCAGAAGCAGACCCTGGTCCAGCTGCAAAGCGAGCCCCTGTGACACCCTGTGCCCGGAACCTCAATGAAGCTTTTGAAGCAGTTGTGGAGTCTCCCTACCACAAGAAGTTGCGGATGGAAGCCCCTCATCCCGCAACGGAGGAGCGGATATTGCAAACAATATTTGTAATAAGTTCAGCCTCCGACCCTAGCTTCCTACAACGATAGTTATTATCCCGATATATAAGCAGGACACCCTACGTGACCTGGACATGGGTGATGGCCACGACTGCGACTCTCGGCTACTGCACTTGCCTGCGACTAGGGATGATCTTGCGAGGAGCTTCGGGTCCATTCAGACTTTCGGCCGGGTGAGTCCCAGGATCCCAATGCTCAGCTAGTTTGCCCTGCAGATGTTCACAAGCCCAATTAAGCCCAGGATTCCGCTGCCCGGCGAACTCGCTCTGCTGGTGATGTTCAGAAACCCGAGAAGTCACGACGGGATCCAGATGCCCGTGAAGTTACCCCTAGTGGCCCTAGTGATGCTGGACTTCGGAGGACCAAGAAGAAGTCCCCACAGCATCCCGATGCCGATAAAGTTCGCCCTTGTGATGTTCAGAAGCCCGAGAAGTCCCCACAGGATCCCAATGCCCCGCAAGTTCACCCAGGTGATGGTCAGAAGCCCGAGAAGTCCCTACAGGATCCCGATGCCCGTGAAGTTCGCCCAGGGTCCCTACGTACACAGGATCCCGATGACCCGCAAGTTCGCCCAGGTGATGAACAGAAGCTGAAGAAGTCCCTGGATCCCGATGCCCCGCAAGTTCGCCCAGGTGATGTTCAGAAGCCCGAGAAGTCCCTGGATCCCGATGCCTCGCAAGTTCGCCCAGTTGATGTTCAGAAGCCCGAGAAGTCCCTGGATCCCGATGCCTCGCAAGTTCGCCCTGGTGATGTTCAGAAGCCCGAGAAGTCTTTACAGGATCCCGGTGCCCAGCCTCTAGAGGAGCAGCAGACCCAGCAGGATGTGGATAGCCTGTCGCCGAAGGTCCCCTGGATCCCTGCAGCAACCGGATCCCTGCAACGAGCACTACACCGTGCCTGGAATGCAATCCAGATTCAATTCATCTGTGGTAATTGTTGCTCAGACAGCTCCTAGATCAACTATATACTGCAATCCCGACAGGCTAGTATATATACTTAGACTGACTTGTACTCATGATCAGAGACTGCAACAGAAGCCACACCACGTCATACAAAGGTGTGATCACACAGGCCGTGGATGTAGCACAAGGTCTTATTAATCACAACAATATACTTCCAATATTCCAACTTTGCAATCCCTCCCTTGAGTTTACGGCCATGCATGGAACATGGCATGCATGCAGGTGTGATTATGTGCATATATAGATATATATGTATACCTAGTACTTGGTCGATATAACCTACATATATATATATATATGTGTGTGTAACTCATGTTGAACCAATCAGATGCATCCGGTCGCTACATACATATATATATATATATATATATATAGTCAATCGGTGTTTGTGCGTATATATATATATGTATATACAGCAGTATAATGCAGCTGTGTTTAGACATGCAACCGATGTACACAGTACATGTCATGATCATCGTATCCATTAATCAGTCAACATGATTGCGAATCGCGCCGAGGCCCAAGGCACCTGGACTCGCAGAGCACCATGAGCATCGGCTCGTACAATCCCTCGCCAAGCAGGGCAGAGAAGGTGTGCGAGGCACTCTTGGACCATGGATTACCCAGTCCGGATGAACGACATGACTGTGGGCAGGAACGACCGCTTGCTTTGCTTGACTATGTGTTCGGCGAGGGGGGTTCAGAACGCCAAGGATCTCGGGGAGGTACAGCGAACCTTTATGATCTTGAAATGGACAAAAACGATTGGGGCCATGGGCTTGGATTTCAATCATGTGGACCCGACCAACGGCCATCTCGCAGCAAAGCTTCACGACACGTCCGTGCGGTTCTCAAAGGGACAAGCCGCCCTGGAGACGCTCGGCAAGGATCTGGAAAAAAGCATCGGCATCATCACTGGCTTAGGAGACAAAAAGAGGTCAGAGATCCAACACATCAAGGACCCCACCATCTTCAAGCAACAGCTGCAGAAGATCGACAACTGGACGACCCAAAAGATGAACGAGAAGCGGGACTTCTTCTCGAAGGAGAGGAACCGTGTGCATGAGCTGCAGGTGGCTTTTGCTTCATCTCTCATGGAACTCTTGGACGCAGTTGAAGCTCAGCACTACAATCGGTTACCAACGGAGCCGGAGGTTGACATCACCAGCGACCTTGAAGCACAGCTTCAGGCCTTGTTGCTCGAGTCGCATGGACCCGACAGTGCTGCCGGAGGCAGCCCACCTCGCAAGGTGCTGCTGGCCGTCAAAGACGAGGTGACTTGGGTGCAGGGTGCAGGCTATGACATCTTTTATGATGACTAGTTAACTAGTTCTAGTTTTCAAACCCTGCTAGCGATCCCTAGCTAGAATCAAAATTAATGCATAATACATGCATGCATAGGGCAGGCCGTGCAGCAATGTGAGCATCTAGATCTTGGTCATGGTTGAGGTCTCATGGTCATATACTAACCCCACGGGTACGAGTTTCGCTAGGTCTCTGAAGTGGGCATCTAATGCACCGTACACATGTATCGATACATATTACATGTACTATACATGTATAGTGCACTCCATTGAAAGATAGAGGTTCTAGAAATTCTTGGAAACGAACATGGCATTTGAGTTGTATATGGCCAATATATATATATATATATATATATATATACATATATATATACATATAGCATGCCAACCAAAACCAAACAGCAAACTACTCTATAAAGTAATCTTCCGAAGCACCTTCAGCGCTGAGATGCCGGGCCATGATCATGATGCTCCGGAGCCGTCCGGACCAGCCTCCGGATTGTGAGAGTACCTGTGTTTGATCGAGACCCTGCTGTAGCTGCCCTCGAGCCCGCTTATCCCCAGTCCGATGTTGCTATTGTGTAAGAAATCAGAACCGCTGCAGGCAGTCGAGACCACAGCGACAGCAGATCCTGGTCCCGATGGTCCCGATGCAATGGTGGAGGCGAAAGAGCAGAAGCGACTGCTACACAATGCAAGAGTCACCTTCGATCGTCGGATCAAGGGCAGCTAGACATGATCTAGATGTTGAGTTTTGCTTGATGGTACTTCTGTGTGTTCTGCTTCGATTCAGAAATATCCCATCATCCCGATCACGGTAATCCTCTGACAAATCTGAGGTGGTGACTGTCCGCCCGAGATCATGGAGAGGGTGCAGTCCTTGCAGGGACAACCAAGCTTCATGTCTGCAATATGCATGACTAATTCTTCAGAAAGCTTCAGGAATTCGCACAGTGGCAATCGAATGGCACAGGTGTGGATCAGGGGGAGGTTGTAGGCTTCGTGTTGAATCTAGACCCATAAGCCGGGAGCATGATGGCTGCGACTGCTAAGATCGCCTCAAGCAGCTGGGCCAGCTCTTCAACGAGTGGTACAAGAGTGGCCAAGACTTCATGGGCACAACAATCATGCAGGAGGCGAACCAACGAATCTCAGACGAATCCAGAGGAAAACAAATCATGATGAGCTTCAAGGCGATGAAGGAGAAGTACGGTAAGAAGACCGCGGAGAAAATCCGCGACAGGAAGAAAGAGGAAGAGAAACATCGCAATCCTAACCTGGAACCTCGAGCTTTCTGGTTCGCCCATCCCGAAGCCATTGATGACCCAGCCACTCGGTGATAAGCTAGCATGTGCTGTTGAAGTGTAACTACAACCGGTACCCTGCTATGTAGACATGTACCATAACAATGTATGATAATACCCTGGACCCATGCATGGCCACCCCACAATGCTCCTCGTCCAGGACTGGGAAATGTTCAGATGCTTTGATAGCCTCGAGTTTGAGATGCGGGACATCAGCTCTTCATCGAAAGGATTCGTTTCGACCGCGAGCCTGCAACCCGATGCCACTGCCCAGCTTGCGAGCCCCTGCTGCAATTATCCCAACAATGTCATTAGTACGTGCAGTGTACGGATGACAATCATTCAAATTTGGATAACCCTGGTAATTTAGTCAAGGCCGTTGCTCCAAGACATGACGAAGTTGGGAGACCGGAAGAGTCAGTTCGGCATGAGCGCCGCACCGGCCCTCCGCCAGACCGGCTCCAACGACAGCCTGGCGAACCAGCTGCAGAATGACAACAAGCCCGGCAAAAAGGTGAATGCATATGCCCTGACGAAAAAGCTCAACAGCAAGATTCAAACGATGTCTGCGAAACTCACGGACATCATGGTGTGGTCGAAGGAGGTTGCCGACTCTAAGTTGCTGCCACTTGGTCCTTCGAAGTCAATAATCCGTATAATTATAATGCTTCCCCAGTTTGTGCAGGGTGCCGGTGATTTGTTCCTGCTTTCTTGAAACCTAGGTTTATTATTTAATAATCGGTAATTATATTATGATATATGTCGGTATCACTATTCCCAGGTCGGAGAAGACGAAAGAGGGCTATGTGGAGCAGCTGGGAGTCAAGAACGACGAGATTCAGTCCCTGAAGACCGACATGGAGCAGCACTTCTCCAACTACAGCAAAATCCAAGACAAGGATTTGAGCTCGGAGGCTCGCACTGCGATCGATGAGGCGATCAAGGCAGCAGACTTGGCCACGATCGACTTGACAGGCTGTCTGAAGCCGATCAAGCTTGCACTCGAATCTTGGATGTATTTAATTTTTCGAGTATAGACTTGTAAATCTCGTGATAAGTACAGTACAATCTTGTTAGTGTATATATATATATATATATATATACACATACATATATGTAGATATTGTATTATTACTTTATTAATTATACGCACTATCCCAGGAGCCACCGAAGCCGAAGGCCAAGGTCAAGGCCAGATCTCGATGAGGAGCTGCAGTGATTTGTGACCTGCTGCAGGGATCGCAGTGCTTGCTGGGCCGGCAATGTAGCCGTGGGATGGCATGCATGTTTACGGATATCGATGATCGAACCCTAGCTGTGCATGCCAGGTCCATCGATAGGCATATGTAGAATCGAAGTTCATGTGTGCCCTTCCATGCATTTGCCTGTCTAACCTGCGGCTGGTGAGCATTGCTGGATTTTGTGTCAAGCCGGATCCCAACTTGTTTTGGAAGGATCGGGCAAAAACCTGATCGAACACAAGAAAGCCTGAGCACTGATTATTAGGCATTCGCAATATTATCTTCAATTGTTCAAAGGCTTGCTTCAAATGGGGGAGCAACGACTGCCGGGATCGCTCTACATTCCTGGCCGTGTGCTGTCGCGACGAATAAAAGCTTAAGTTTCATGCTGATCGATCTTGATGAGTGCATTGCGATTCACCGTGTTGCTGTCGAGCATGATTCCTCCAATTCCCACCCCCTCGCAGGCGATCTCGCGAGGGCGAGAACGTCGCCTATGTTCAACCATTTGATGCGAGCAGTTGGCCGTGGTGCCACTTGATTGCATATGCCATGATCTGTCTGTTCGCCCATGATCGGTGTTGCACCCCTCGTCCTGACAGGCATCCTTTACGAGTGCCCGCGAGTCGTGCCAAGCCATGAAAGAGGACTGCAGCTCTGTATTTGCAAACGGTGTATTAGAGAACTCATGCGATCATCCAAACACGTGCTGTCATGCTATGCAGGAGATGAGCGGCAATTATGGCATCAAGATGACTGGCCGGTTGGCCAGGCTCGAGGCCGCTGGAGCACATGGGAAATGGAGCAGCAACATACAAAGGGATGTGTTACGGGCAAGCTCCACGGGAGATGATGTGTCTTGCTATCCAATTAATATGAGCGAGAGAGAGAGGGAGAAGCATGCATCGCAAACCCTGCAGTCTGAACGAGTTCGCTTGCCCACGACTTCCCATCCCAAGCTTTTAAATTGTCGTATCACTACTCCAGCCTGAGGTTCCCATCGATATGGTGGATGTGCCCATCAAACCTGAGCGAGGCAAGCTGAAGATGACAACCAAGCCACTTGCCACTTATCAAAGCCTTGTGGAGATTATGTTTCGAGATTGTGCCCACCTGGCCTAGTCCTGGCATGTACGGATCGGGTAGCATTATACGGGGCTCGCAAACACGTTCTCAACTGACAGACCGTTGTATTGGGATTATATATTAGGTCAATGCCTGTGGTCCTCCCGCACAAGCTGCTTCCCTGGCTTATTCGCATTGGCAAATGGCCGACGAGTGTTATATCTGGTGTTCGTCGTTACTGGGAGCATCAAAAGCACTGGAACACTGGACTAGCAGCCCCTTCGACTGCACACCACCCTCTGTGGATATGGGGCGATGACTGTAGATATGGGAAAAAGTTTAACCAAAAGGTTATGGTTTGCATGATGGGGCACTGCCTGGACAACAACCGGAACTCCTACGAGAGCTGTTTTCCTCTTTGGGTCTGTGGCTGTGATTCCCGATGAGCTTTAGCATATTCGATTTCTTGAATTATATTTACTTAAATTGTATTTACATAATTATATGTATATGTATATATATTATGCGTAATATATACGTGTACTCATGAAACCCCATTCTGAGCGCCTAGCCTTGTCCAAGCTTCATCATGAATCCGAGGAGCTGAGCCTGGGTATGGCTACGATTGCAGCCTACATGCGGCCGGTACCATGGCGGAATGTTGGGATCAACTTAAATTTATGGTTCGAGTAAATTTAATTCGGGTTGATGATGATGATGTATGCAATAAAGCTGATGATCAGGTGGTGGCAAGCCTGAACCTTCTAGTGGAAGGTGTACCTGTGAGCCGCTCCAACCAGCTTCTGGTCTATGGAATGTGCACGGAAGTACGGGGAGATTGGAAGTGGCAGAAGGACTTTTGGGCTAAACCGAGTATTATTTTTTCAATAGTATATTATTATAGCATCAATATTATCGAACCTGTACGTATATATACGGTGCAGGAGTGGCTGGGGCTGAAAACTGGATGGAGCTCACATGAGCTCTGCCACCAATGCAGGATGACACATACTGCATATGCCGTTGTACCAAGCATCTTGTCTGAGCTACCACGACGCAGCATTGATGACATCCGCCGAGATTGTTTGCACCCGGGAATTACAAGTGTCCGGGTCGTTCTGAAAGCCTCAAGCTTATGACCCGAATCGAACAAATCATGATTGCTAATCTGCGACAACATTTTAGCTCCAGGCCCCCTCTTCGACTTGACCGGTGTATGCCCCGCCACCTTCAAGTGGTGCAGCATGCACGTAATCAATCTGGGAATTGCTTTATGGGTGGTGGGCAGCTGCTTCAAGCTTCTCCTTCTGGAGTTTCATGTGTGGGGAGCCGGAACTGATGCAGAGCGACTTCAGACTGCCTTCGAAAACTTTAAGTCCTGGTGCTCTGTGCGAAAGATCCCGCCGCTTTGCAGGGCAACTGGTTACGTTCGATTTTCAGCTCTTGCAATTGCAAGTAATTATTGTGTATAGGCCCTAAAGTATATTGCATTGGGGAGTGCATCGAAATCAAGGAATACACAGCCTCGTTTTACCACTGCTTCTTTGCGATCGCCGGACGGGCCGTACCCTGAATTACGAGCCAAGGCCTACAATGTTACAGACTTGCACATATGAGGGTCCACTTTTCTAAAGTTCGTGTTATTATAATATAGGACTAGATCTAGATCTATATATCGTATAATTAATTAGCTTAGGCCCGAGTCGTCGTGGCATGGTTGGCAGCCTTTCTTATGGAGCTCTACTTGGGCTACACGTGTGGTGCACCTGAAGACTTGAAGCTGATGGCCGAGTGCACGTATCTCGAATATATGTATATGTGTGTGTGTGTGTATGATCCAAGTCGTGGCTAGAGCGCTCGGTACCGGTTGATTTTTGGGCTAGCTAGCTACCTCGGGATCCGGATGACGGTCGTGATCATGGTACTTACTTATAAATCGTAGCCCAATTATTACTTAATTATCTCGCTACCAATCGATAACCCTTATTGCAGGCATTACCTGGCCTCGTGGTTCAACCATTCCGAAGATGCCGGCCGGTACCTCTCGCATGAGCAGGCGGTCAGTATGATGGAGTGCTGCGAAGCTTGGCTTGATTGTGGTATCAGCTTGGATTCGGAGTTGAATTACCAACGATTGCATTGCAATGATCAGGACAGGTGTTTGATGGCCTACATGATCCTCGCGGAGAAAGCTGCTTCATACCACAGGCCGTTGTGGCCGTTGAAGCCGAAGATTCATGTGTCCAAGATGCAAGAAGTATGTCTATGTAATCCGCAATTAAAGCCATGATCATGATGATGACCGACACTTGGACGATTGAGGCGTGGCAAGAGATTGCATGGCATCAACTGATGCATCGCAACTTGGATCAAACCACTTGCTGAAGCTATGCCGATTGCGATTTCTAGCTCCAGCTGCTGCTGTTCTGAGGTGAAGGCTGCAGAATGTATCACTGCTTTATGCAGGAGGATTCCGTGGGCAAGATCTCACGACCTTTAGCTGCAAACGATGTGCTCCAACCCAAATCCTATGCTATTGAATGCAATCCGCTAGATTTCCGAGGACTAGCTGCAGTATGCCACCCTTGGACTCTGGTGGATATTGCTATACGGCGGTGGTACCTGCAACTGGTGTATGGAGATGACAAGCATGCCGAGGGCGCATGATCGAGCCGCGAGAAATGTCGTCCATCCAGGGTTTAAAGGGCCGAAATTGCAGCGGCCCACCCC